CTGCTCACCCCTCCTGCAAACCGCGGTCTGCTCTCGTTGCCGTGCTGCCAAAGGAGCAGCATCTCGGAGCTGTCAGCAGCTGCCTCTGCCTCTCCTTGCCGGGGTGGGCAGGTGGGAGGTGTTGCCCCCACCCAGCTCCTTCTCCTGCAAGCTGAGCACAGAGAGGGGCTCCTCCAGCACCATCTGAATTACAAAGTCATTCCATTGTCAGGCCTTTTAAGTGTCACATTCTCTGTTAGATCCCAGGCTGTGACATTCACTGAGGAACAGCATCGTTTCAAAGTCAGGGATGTCTATTCTTAGCACATCAGTCAAAAAAAAAAAGGGGGGGGAAAAAAGTCGTTGGGGAAGGAAAAAAACACAGCAGTTTTACCAAAATGAGCCTTGTCACAAGTGATCAATCCATCTCCCAGTCACACTGACCTGCTCCTTGCTGCATGCCAGAGGACAGAATTTGATACCACAGCACAATGAATTAAGATTTGCCAGATCTCCTGGTAATTAATTGTCTCACAGCACAGGTTTGGCAAAGAATAATTTATCTTTAAAGAGATTAGATCACTGGTAGCTGGGTTTTGTGTTTTACTGGGTTTTTTCTTTTTAAGGAACATTTCTCCTCAGTTAGTTGAAGAATAGATGCTGATGAGTAACAGCCACCTCCTGGTACTTTATTGGCGTTATTTAAATTCCTCTTCCTGCTAGACCAGAGCCCCCTCAGCAGTGGAGAGGCAAAGTTGGGGCTGGGCTGGGCTCTGGGTTTTGGGGTGCAGCCCTGGGAATGTCAATCCAGCCACCCTGATGCTCAAGGATCTCTGCCTTGGTTATTAGTCACTGGAAAATCTCAGTCTGAGTTCATATAAAAAGTTAATAATGTCTATAGCACTGTCTTGAAATCTACCTGTACATCATGAGAGTCATGATTCTCAAACTAAGCAGAACTTTCACAGCATTTATCCTGATACATGTCCAAGATCTGCTCCTCCCTTCAAAGAGAACAAAATCCACTAAATTCCTGGTGTGCTCCCAAATTCTGCTCTAAGGAGCTGCTGCTGATGGGTTCTTCGTATTCAGGGAATGAGAGAGCAAAGAGATTTTCCCAAAAAACCTTCTTGCAAAAGCCATGCAAAATTCTTTGTAACTTCAATGAGATGGGGGCAGAGTTTTAACTGTTTCTGAAGGTGGGATTCAGTGCAGTGTGGGATGATGCTGGAACAAGTGTGGTACCAAAGCAGATCCTCAGTGTCCCCCTGCACACCCTGACCAGCTCCAGAGGCACTGTCACTAACGTGCTTCTCTCCCTTTCCTGCTTTTTAGTATTCATGCAGTGCTGATCATGTGAAAATTACTCACTCTTCTGACTTGAGAAAAGTTTCTTAACTGAGAAATTCCACCAATATCAAGGGAATTAGAAATTCAAATGGGGGGAAATTATACACTGTGTGTGTCAATACAGCAAAGCTTTATAAAAGCTGCAATCAATCACACTGGCATCAAAGGTGCTGGGACTTTTCCCTGTTACGAAGGGATCACAGGCCAAAGGAAAAGCTGAATTGGAGGAACCAAGCTTGGTTTGCTCCTGGAGAGAGGGGCTGCCCTGTGCTGAGGCTGCAGCTCATTCCTGCACCTCCCTGCTGCTCCCCTCGTGTGTTGTGACTGCCAAACGTTGTGGTTTTGTAGGTCTTGTCTCTGAGCTCTCTGCTGTCACTCCCTGGGATGTAAGGAGAAGCAGGCACGGCCCAGATGCTTGCCTGGAGCACAAATAACACTTTTCTCTACTACTGTTCTCCATCAGGTCCCCTGAGTCTCGCGTTTCTGGCAGGCAGCATCCCATGGGGAGAAAAAGAACCTCAGGCCTTTGGTTTGCAGTTGTTGTAAAAACCTGATTCTGGCTGTGGTGTAATTTAGCAGATTGAAATAGAGATATAGTAAATCTGTTATGCTCTCTCAGTGACTCAGGCAGCTTCCACTGGCAAGAACTGTTCAGAATTTGGAATATTCAGTAATCCCTTCACATTTCCAGGGGCTTCTGTGTATTCCCAGTGTTCAGCCCCAGCTTTGAGGCGTCTGTGTGCTGATAAGTGCATGTTCCTGGATGGGTGTGTTTGAAACCACAGAGGAGCGAAGCAGCCAGGAGGATAAACAACTCCTGGGGATGGTTTAAGGGTTTGTGCACACAGCCATCCATTTGCTGCAGACAGGCTCTCTCACCTTCTGCGCCCGGCGCTTGTCCGCGCGCTGGTTGTGGTGGCCCAGGATGGACAGACAGATGGACAGACAGATGGACAGACAGACAGACAGGCTCACCCACCTTCTGTGCGCGGCGCTTGTCGGCGCGCTGGTTCTGGTGGTAGATGCGGCTGAAGTTGGAGACGATGACGGGCACGGGCAGGGCGATCACCAGCACCCCGCTGAGCGAGCAGATGGAGCCAAAGATCTTCCCCGCGATGGTCTTGGGCACCATGTCCCCGTAGCTGCGGGCAAAACACACGGGAGAGCCCTGCTGAGACCCTGAGAGCCCCCTGAGAGCCTGAGAGCCCTGCCAGGGCCTGGGCAGCTCCCAGGGTGGCACCGGAGCTCAGAGCCCCGTGCCAGGGACAGCCCCTGGAGCTGCCACCCTGCCCCTGGTGCTGCCCCCCTGGCACACCCTCCTGCCCTGCCTGGCAGTTCAGCACAGACAGCCTCCCCTGTGCTGCTCAGCAGCTGCTGGGTTGGAATTCACACCCTCGCTCCCCTGTGCCCCCCTCCCCATGCAGATGAACCCCAAACTCTGCCCCTGCTGGGGAGCAGCTCGTAGATTTCCATTCCCGGCACCCAGGTGCAAATGAGAGCTGATTTACACTCCCATTCCAAAGCCCAGCAGTTTCCCTGCCATCTGCACAGGCAGGAATCTGGGGCTTGTTCAAAGTCTGCATTCAGTAAAAGGTGAACGTGAGACCAGCTGGAAAATATCCACACAAAGCTCTGCCCTGGGTTGGACCCAACAACCTTCTGCTGTGATTTGTGTTGCACAGAGAGAAGTGGAGCAGTGCAGAGGAGGCCACGGGGATGCTCTGAGGGCTGGAGCCCCTCTGCTCTGGAGAAAATCTGAAAATTGAAATCTAAACAAGCCCCTGGTTGCTGTCAGATGGTTTTAGGGATTCCTGTGGGTATCTTTGAGATGTTCTGGTGCTGGGTGCAGCAAATGTTGAAAGGAGAAATTATTTATTTAAATTGAGGCTTTATTTTTACATTTGATGTCAGTCTATGACCAACAAAGAGCTTTGAGGGGAATAGAGTTGAGCTAAGCATAATTTACATCCAGGAGGAAAAACAAACATTTCAAAACAGCTTTTTTCTCAGCTGCACTCCTGTCCCCGTGCAAGAACCTGTTGGAATGGGGGGCTCAGTAAGAGCAGGACTCCTTGCATGTTAAATGCTTCAGCCAAGGTTTATTTATCCCAAACAGAATCCTTCTCCTGCCTTCACCCACACCAAAACCCTTCAGAACACCTCAAATCAATAGATGCCTCTTCACGTCTATTAACTTCTTATCTGCTGCTCTATGCAAAGATCATTTCAAAGCTCTGCTAAGTGACAAGTTCTTCTGCCTCATTTAACACTGCTCCAAAAAAATCTCCCTCCTCTGCTGCTGGCCCTTAACACAGTAAGGCTGGAAATTAATCATATGCCTCAAACATGATCTCAGTGACCTGGAGCATGCAGAAAAAGCCCTTCTGTGCATTTGCAGAGAGTACAATAATAAGTGTCTGGCTCTCAGTCTGGCTCAGGGAGGTTTGTTCTTACACGCAGACTGAGAGTTACCTCATTATGGGGACTTGAGAGAAGTGCTTAAAACAGCAGCAAAGATCAAACCCTGGCAGCAGGAAGGGTTTGTGGGCAGATGGAGAAGTTCCTCCTGTGACAGGAGGAGCCCTGAGAGCTCTGGGCTGGTGGCCCTGGTGGCACTGGGCACACTGCAGCTCTCCATGGAGGATCCTCCTGGGATCTGCTCTGGGACACCTGGGGACACCTGACCCGGGGTGGGAGGTGGCACCTGGGGACATGTCCTGTGAGGTGGCACCTGGGGACATCTAACCTGGGAGGTGGCATCTGGGGACATGTCCTGTGCCCCACAGAGCTGACCTGAGGTGCAAATGCCAGCCCTGGGCTCTGGGCACGTCTCAGCTTTGTTTCTCAGGGCCAGAGCCCCAAGTGCATCCCTGGCACTGCCCGAGAGCCTCCCCTGACTTTGCCAGGGCTCTGGGCTGCAGTTGTTCTGCTGCTCTGTTGGCACCCCCGGCTCCTGCAATATTCATTGCTGAGAGATTATTTCTGTCCTGATGCTGCCACAAGACACTAATGGCCCCGTGGCATATTTATATCAGCTACAGTGCCAATAAACTCAAATAAACTCAGCTGCTGGATTCCAGTCACTGCTAATTAGGCATTTCAACCCCAAAACTTCTTTTCCCCTGACTGGAATGGGAGAACACAACTTTACCTTTGATTTATTTAGCAAAAGGCAAATTGTCATCTAAAAAACTTCTAGAGAAAGTGCATTTTAAGCAGTTGATCAATAATTTGATCAGAGCAGCTGATAGAGGAGCTGGGTGATGATTAATGATTAACGTGCAGAGGGTCTGAGGGTGCTGGAGCTGCCCAGCACCACAGGAGCTGCCAGCACTGCCAGGAATGCACCTGGATCACACCTGAGCCATTCCCAGTGCTGGATTCAGTGCAGGGCTCACCTGGGGGAAGGAGGACAGGATGGGATTTAAGGCTGGACAAGGCTGGAGCAGCCCCTGGGGCTGGGGCACACACCAGGCTCTCCCCTGGGCAGCATTTCTGCCCCACAGCTCTTGGGGAGCTGCTTCATTCTCCCCCTTGTGCCCAGCACAGGAGAGGCAGAAGAAGATTTTGCTCCAGCCTGGAAGTGACTGCTTTAGGACAGCAGGGACAGAACAATATCATTGTGTGCTGTACAATAGACTGTGATTCTGAAAGCCTCTTGCATGGAGAGCTGGAATGAAGCAAGGAATTAGCATGTGGCTCTCCAGGTGCCTGAGAGCCTTCTTTGTGCTCCAGGGGATTCACTGGGCAGTGTTGGGGCCCACACAGAGGAGGGGAAATGGCCAGAATTCATCTGGAAGGGTCCAGGGGCATTGCCAGACTGAAATATTGTATGGGCAGCCCTGTCCCTCCATGTCACAGGCGCAGGTCCCAGGTAATGCTGCTGATGCTGCTGTGAGCCCCAGAGCAATAATGACTGTGTCACCCCCATGGTCCAAACTGTGGAGCCAACTCTGCTCATCCTGTGCTGGTTTAGAGCAGGGAATCCACAGCTGGGCAGGGCAGGGGGCCTGGGTCTCTGCTTTAGAGCAGGGTTGGGGCCTGGATCCCTGGTTTAGAGCAGGGAATTCCTGCGTCTCTGCTTTAGGGTTTAATTCAGCTCTGCTCACCCACCCTGCTGGAATGAGCCCCAGAGCTCACCTGTGCTGCCCTGCCACATTGGGCTGGAAGGGACCTTCTAAAATCCATTTATTCCACATCCCCACTGTCTCAGGCTGCCCAGAGCCCCCTCCTCCCCACCGGGGTGTCCCCAGGGGTGCCCAGCTGTGTTTTACAGACCCAGGAGCACAGGCTGGGCTGGGCTGGGCCCCTGCAAGGCTGAGCTGTGGGCAGAGGCTCGGTGGCTCTGAGGCAGGAGAATCTGCAAACGGGCTGTCAAACGCCAGCCTCGAGCAGCAAATCAGCCGTGCAGGGGAAGCACGGAGCCTATTTCATGCTAGGATTCTTTTACATTAAATATCCTTATTTTCTGCCTTGTTTGGAGCCGGGCACTTCCCCAGCTGGGCATTCAGCTGTGAGATCTGGCATCCTCTCACACTCCTGTTTTCCTTTTCCCTGGCATCACTCACTCGGTGATGTTTTCATGGATGCTCTGGAAACGGTGCTGCAGTTGCAGCCCTCGGCCAGGCAGGGAGGGATGGGGCTGGAGATGCTTATCAGCTCCAGCAGCTTATCTCCAGCGCTTGGATTCACTTGCATCCTTAGCAAAGCTGTGGTCAGCAGTTGCTTAGCAGGGATTTTCTAGGCGAAGTTGCCTTTTTGGTATTGTTCTGGTTTATAAATTCGTATTTCTGACTGGGGTTTGTGTGATTAAAGGACAGAGTGAATTCAGAATTGTCCTGCTCTGAGGAGAAGGAGGTTCTGTTTCTCCTGCAGTGGGAGCATCAGGAAGGGAGGAATCACTCCCTGATGGATTTCCAGGGCAGGCTGGACCAACCCTCAGCAGGGCCAGATCAGGGGATGAGCTGAGCCTGGAGCCAGTTCCAGGCTGGGCAGAAAAGGGGACCTGGGAGCAACTGGTGGCAGGAATGCTCCTCCAACAGCAGCAGGAAAGGGAATGTTTGTGAGGACTCAGGAACAAACTAACTAGGTTATTTAATACACACAGGGCGGAGAATACTTCATATATTAACATTGGTTCCATTTATTCCTCCCGGCTTGGATCAGCTCCTCAGCCCGTAGGCAGTTAAAGCAGATGGTCTGAATTTGGGTAACATTCAGACCTTGAGTGGAAGCTAAAAATGGAATTTCATTGGCAGGAAAAGTAGGTCAGAAAGCTAAAGCCCCTAGTCCTAAAATGATGAAAGGCTCCTAATCAAGTGTTCCCTATTACCATTCATTAACCAGAGCAGGGGAAGGAATATCACAGAGAAGGGGATGGCAATGGGGTTCATTTCTGTTTTACCCATTCAGTGAAGGCTGATTTGGGGTTTATTTCTGTTTTACCCATTCGGTGAGGGCTGATTTGGGGTTTATTTCTGTTTTATCCATTCAGTGAAGGCTGATTTGGGGTTTATTTCTGTTTTACCCATTCAGTGAGGGCTGATTTGGGGTTTATTTCTCTTTTACCCATTCAGTGAGGGCTGATTTTCCCCTGTGGCCCAAAGTGATGCTCTCAGCCTCCCTGCTTTCCACAGCCACCAAACATCAAGAACATGCTTGAAATCTGAGGAACAAGTCCTGAGCATTGTTGTCCATCTGATGCAGGCATCTGGCATGAGAGCACCGAGTCCTGCTCAGTAATGCCCACTTTTTAAAGTGTTTGTTTTAATGGGAAATAAAATGTCCCAGATTAAGGCATTATTTATTTCTGGCTGCACACACTAAAGGCCTTTTAAATTACTTCATTCATTATTAATTCAAGAAGAATCCTCATATTACTCAGAGTGAAAACCTTACACAATTACCTGCTCAGAGAACCCTTTTTTCTGCATCTCAGCTCTCTGTAAAAGGAACTTTTTGGAGAACACAGAGGCAGGAGAGGGCAGGCAGTGCATTGAGCAATTAGGCTGTTCTCCTAATAGCAGGGCTGAAGGCTCCCTGCCCTGTCTTAAACCCTTAACTGTGGTGTCAGCTTAAAGGAAATGCTGCCTTTTTGCTTTCATTCCATCCTCATCTTTTTATTCTCTGTCTTTTTAAGCAG